CCACTTTTTCGCGGCTGACCGTAGCCCTGTTTTTGACGGATATTCAGACCATCTGGCTGCCCCTATCCTTCCTTGCCTCAGATCCAAATGGGTGACAAACACACCAAAAAGGGACTATCCCTGTCCTGGGAGGATAGCCCTACAACCAAACACATTCCTAAGCACCCAAAGCAGCAGGTTCAGAAATCACAGCAGCAACCATTTTCCCCCCTATGAACTAGACCACTGGGATGACACTAGCATACACCGCTACCAGGCCAAACCATTCTCACACACCAATCAGATATTAACTCATTATTATTACAACATATCACAATCAGACAATGTCATCGATTCGCTTAGGCAACAGGCAAAAACAGTCTGATTGATCTAAGCGAGACATGGGTGTCAGAGCTCCAATTTTCGTTGGACATGGAGCCCAATCTTTTTTTTTCTGTACAGTTAAAACAAGACCAGCATCCAACAATGCCAAGAAATCATAGAAATGCCGTTTTTCTCGTGTCAGACTGGCAATCACCGCCGCGCCTTTCCTGTCATGAAGAAGAGAGCACATTCCCAGTTAGCTTCACTTCCACTCTTGTCAAAAGAAAAGTCAGGGTGGATTCAGATATACCACTCACCACGGGGTGATGACCGGGGCCTATACGACGCGGCGGCCATGTCGTTAAGGTCCTGCAGCGGCGTCAGATGCTTGACAACCTCGTCCATCATCGGGCGCGACTTGCTGTCACGGTTGAGGCAGTGGTGGCAGATCTGGGCAATCTTCTGAACACCTCTGACGGAATAGTTCAGTCCCAGGCGAGGGTCTACGAGCTGATAGAGCCTTCGCCGGTCGCTCAGATACGGCCTCGCCCATGCAACGAGGTTCTGCTCCCCTGGAGGTCGCTTCTTGTCCACTGATCTCCTGCCAGTCAGCACCTCCAGCAGCACGACTCCGAAGCTATATACGTCGCTCTTGGTTGTTAAGTGGCCTGAACAGTGTGCTTAATATGAGATATAAAACTTGGCATGTCTATTGCCACAACAAATAATCTTAAACTGAGTTTTTGTTCTCTTGGATATTATCACATTCAAGAAACTGGGAAAAAAAGCTGTAAAGTACCAACTAGTCACTGAAAATTCCTATCACAGCCAAGAAACTAGGCAAGAAACTACCAACTACTCCCTCCATTCCTAAATATATGACATTTTGGTAGTTCGATTTGAACTACCAAAACGTCATATATTTAGGAACAGAGGGAGTATAAACAGAGCTTATCATTCTCTTGGCTATTATCAGAGCCAGTAAAGTAGTACCAACTAGTAACTGCATGCTGAAGAATTCTCGATGCATGTACCTGTCATTACATACTCGGGCGCAGCATAGCCATAGGTGCCAAGAACTCGAGTAGAGACATGGGTTTTATCACCTTGGGGGCCAGCTTTTGCGAGCCCAAAATCTGAAAGTTTTGAATTGTACTCCTGTAAAAGCAGAACTTTCACAGTTAAAGCAACATACTACACGTAAGCATGGGAAAAATAAATTGACAATAGAATTACCGCATCGATAAGAATATTTGATGTCTTAAAATCCCTGTAAATAACTGGTTTGGGACCAACATGTAGGAAGGCTAGACCTTTAGCAGCACCAAGAACAACCTTCATCCTGCACGGCCAAGGTAGGGGAAGAGTCCCTTCAAGATTAAACAAAGTATAAGATAACAGGAGAATAAAAAGGGACAAAACAACACACACGTAGTAAAAAACGAAGTAAACGTAGCTAGGCAGGGATGAAAAGCAATAATTAAAGTAGAAGAAACCCCACACAGACCAGTGTTCCTGTAAGGATTTGTACCAGAAGTTGGAGTTCTAAATAACAGTTAAAAAAAGTTATGATTGTTCTGAGTTTGAACTGCAAAAAACAAGCTAGAGATAGTAAAGCATGCATACCACCTTGGGATAAAAAGATTAACATGCAACTGGTCACCTTTAGATTATTGTCTCTTTGCAAAAAATTATTGATTTTCCTTTCAGATATTAGATAGGTTGAACTTCAGAATTCCTCCAGATACGATATTATCCTAATATTCAGATGTCATTATGTGTTTCCTTTCAGAAAACAGTTCCTCCAGATAAGAATAAAATAAAACCTTCCAAGTTTCAGCACACACTGTAGGAATACTAAATCTAAAAACAGCAACATTCAATAGTAATATTTGTAGTTGATTGCTCACTTCTGAAAAGATGATTTTCTAGACTTCCCCGTGCCATGAATTCATACACAAGCAGCCTTTGGTCATCCTCAATACAGTATCCAATCAGCTTAACAAGATGTTTGTGATGCAGCTGTCCCAGAAAGTCAACTTCCGCCTGCAAATTGATTTCTTTGGAAGTTATAACTCTACCCAAAGAAAGAAATTTAGGACTTGAGAGGTTTGTATTACTTACCACCCATTCTCTATGACCTTGAAGAGCATTTTCCTTCAGACTTTTGACAGCTACAGTCAGACCAGTGCCAGGTTTTGCAGGAGCTGTACTGTTTGGCTCAATCCACCCCTTGAACACATACCCAAATCCACCTTCTCCGAGAATACTGTCTGGTCTGAAGTTAACAGTGGCAGATTTCAGCTCTTGGAAAGTGAATTCAAGTAGCTTGGGTGATATTTTCTTCTCAATTGATGAGTCAACACCATTTTCGTCACCAAGCTTCCCCTGAAAATGATCTGCAAGATCTCGATTGCTAGAGTTTAGGTATCTCGTCTCCGCTGCCATGGAAGGGGGAATATGGTTGAGCATTTCACCCCAAACTGGAAATTTACTACTGGAGTATACGAAGTGGATAGCATGGTTATAGTGCCCTCTGAAGTGCAATATGCTGCACCCAGATTACGCTCAAATGTGTAAGCTAGGATAAAATATATTCGGCGATGCTTATATTTATTAGGTCTTGGACTTCCCCACGTATCCAAACTGGTTAACAAAGTAGATGGACATATGCCCAACTACCCAAGACCAAGAGTATTATATACTAGGCATACTTATCCTCAGCTTTTATTAAGGAAAAAATAATCCAACCAGTTGAATTGAGGTATCATGAATATGTTTCTTATACTGCCAGGTAAGCTTAGGCAAAATGTCAATGATGAGCGTCACAGCAGAAAGCAACAGAATTAGATGTGTTTTGCTCCTTGAACTGAAGGAACAAAGGCTTGATTCATGCCTCTATGTATTTACCACATGTGTTTCTTCAGTTATGTCACAATGGTCAGAAAAATTTCACCTGCCAGTCAGAATTACTATAATGAATTGCAGAGCACAACTTGCAGCAAAAGATAAGCAGCAAAAACCATTGGTTTGAAGGGGATTATTATCTCGCAATAGAACAAAGAACACCTTTTGCTTACCCACCCATATAAAGAGTTAAAAGACACAAGCCCAAGCTCATATATATGCTGCCATGGCAATAGCTGTTCAAGATTAGGACATCGACAAGCAAGGTTAAATTCAATAGGCTTCCTTGATTGATCAATTCTCAATCAGGAACCAAGAAAGAAAGCCCAATTCGATGCAGAAGAAGTTCCGTGCTGCACAATCTTGTGAGAGCTGGCAATCACACTGCTAGCAAGGACAGGATCCTTAAAAGTGGTAATACTGAGCAAAATTCATCTGATCCTCAACTATCTGAGCCTGATCTTTCTTACTAGTAGTATATCTTTGCTCGACAAACAGAAGAACATCGTATCAAGTACGTACCATAGCTATCACGTCATGGCGGTATGTAATCGCTAGAGAACAAAGCAGCTGATCGCTCCCAGAACCAGACAAAGAGATCCCACCAACCAGGGGAAAAAAGGACAAAACTTCCGGATAAAGAGCAAGAATTAAATCGGTTACCTGCGTCGTAGACATGGCCGCCTTTGACCGCGGCCCCGGCCGGGGCGTCGGCCGCGGCCGCCGCCGGGCGGAAGCAGGAGCCCCGCAGCCCCCGCGCGAGCACGGCCCAGCAGCCGCACCCGCGGCGCTCCTGCCGGTGCCGCGGAGAAGGAGGAGGAGGAGGCATGGACCCACCACCAATTTCCGTGGCCCGTCAAGTCGAGGCGGCGAGGTCAAGAACTAGAAGCGCTTCTGGCGCCGGCCTGTTACCCGGCGACCCACCTACCCCCGCTAGCCAGCGACACGACCGGTTCCTGCTCGGGAGCTGGGTTTGGATGGATGGACGCCCGGACTCGCACCCCCCGTCGCCGTCCGGACCCCGCCAGCAGATAAGTGCGCACGCCGGCGCAAAGGCGAAAGCGAAAGGAGAGGGAGGGATAGAGGATCGAGTCAGAGGGAAGTGCCGCGGATGGTGGTGGGAGTAGACAAGTCGGGGAAGCAAGCGGGCGGGGCGGGCGATGGCTGGCTGGCGCGCGCGAGTGGGAACGGAGTGGGAGTGGAAGCGGCAGTGGGTCGCACTCGGGGCGTATGCGCACTGGCGCCGGCACCGCGACGAACGTGTCGCCGCCGCCGTCATGATGACGACGGCGAGGAATGAGGAATCGATCCATGTGTTGGCCCCCGGTGACGACGGGAGTGGGGTGGGGTGGAGGTTGGCCGAACCCCAGCCGGCTGCGCTGGTTGGCTGGGGCGGCCGTAGGCGGATTCACCGTGCCGCGGGCGGCTGGGGTCGATGGGAAGGGGGCGGCTTTTTTCTTCCGGCGGGCTGATTCGATTCACTTTCACCGTGAAGGGGAGATCCAGTGGGAACCGGATCCTTTAATATTGACAAGGAAGTTAGAGAAGCTACAGTATCCTACTTTTTTTTTCTATTTATATGATTAAGGTTAAAATGGTTTAAATTAATTTACAAATTGATGATCTACTGTGTATATTTATAATAATTACACACAAATAAGTTGATCGTGAAATAAAATTAATTTAAAATTATTTACATTTACAGTAAATCCTAATAGTAAACAACCTGCCAACTACATATTAACCTTCTCTAATTTTTCTTCTTCATTTTACACTAGGCTAGCACTCTAGCACCGTGACTTCCCTTCTCTATGTTAGAGGATCCGCTTCCGATCCAGTGGTGGGCAGTAGGAGCAAGTGAGCAAAGAGATACTCCCTCCGTTCCAAAATACAGTGCGTTCTCGGTTTTCATGTTTCAACTTTGATTATAAATTTAACCAACGAGACCAATTACGGTGGGAGCAAAAGTTATGCCAGTGAATTCGTATTCAGAAAATGTTTTCAATTATATAATTTTTGCTTCCGTCGAAGTCGGTCTCGTTGATTAAATTTATGGTTAAAGTTGAACCTTTGAACATTTTGGGTCCAAAAATTTACATTTCCTAGACTTGTAGGTGAGTTTAAGTTTCAAATCAGAGATCTACTCTTTGGGTCTAAACTACAGTTAAGCCAACTTGACAACTTGTCTGTACTGGTACATCATGTTTATTTTTATTTTCGACGAACTGGTGCATCGTTATTGAATTGGGGCGGGAGAGGATAAGAGATTGTGATTGGCGCTTAGCTAAGAGTACTAAGAGTTGACTTCATCACCTTTGTACTCCATTGATTTTTTTTAAGTAGCTCGAATTACTTACCACATGTGCCCATGTGGTGTACACCACTGAATTTATTGACAACTCTTTGTATACAAAGCGTATGAGTCATTTTATATCATCGATTCTATAAAATGCGGAGAGGTCAATAATTGAATCTACTTAGGTTCACGATTTAGACCATCTCCGGCGGGCAATGTGTTCCTTTAGGATTTCAGTCACAACAATAAGCTCCAATGGAGAGCCATAATAGATTCCTACAAAGTCTGGTGCCTTGCTTGCTTTTTTTTTTTGCCTTACAAACCTTACTTCGGTGTCATATACTCTCTCAATGTACACTATGATAGTGTCAAAAAACGTGTTACATTTTGGGATGGAGAGAGCTTGCTCCACCTCCACTTGGACGCCCCTTCCCTGATGTGAAAAAAATCCCTTGCACCACGCCTCGTTCCACCTCTATCTGATGGACCATAACTTATGTACTGCATCTGGTCAGAAAAAGAAGCTCAATAATGTGTACTGCAAAATTACAACGTCATACACATCTAGCCTAAATCATGATGATGTATTGCAAAATTATGTGTATGAGTCAAATTCAGATGGGATGTATTGCAAAATCATATTGATGTACTGCAAAATTATGTGTATGAGTCAAATTCAGATGGGATGTATTGCAAAATCATATTGATGTACCGTGCAAAATCATATTGATGTACTGCAAAATTAGGTGTATGAGTCAAATTTAGATGGGATGTACTGCAAAATCATATTGATGTACTGCAAAATTATATTTATGTCTGCTGTAAAATATAGAAGGGGATGGAGTACCTCACTACCTCCTTTTGAAGAAAGTCTAAGAGCATCTCCAACCGTTGCCCCCCCCCCTGGGGCGCGTAAATTCGCCGCCTGGGGGCAAACCGGCGCTAAAATCAGCGTAGGGACATTCAGATTCCCAGCCGCCGGCCCCAGGGTTGCTCCCAGAAGGCTTTTTTTAAGGAATTCGGCTAAAGTTCAACAAACGGGACAAAGATTCGGCTAAAATTCGGCGAACATGACATTACTTAGGCGACCTACATAGTTTTTCACATAGCAAAGTGAAGTACTTTAAAAAAAGGGCCGCAACTATAACTACGGGCCGAAGAACGTGCTGAGCGCGGCGAAGTCGCCGTCGTCGCCACCATCCTCGTCGTCCTTCTCCTCCTTGACGCGGCCGCCCCTGCTGGACCCCTGTCCGGCGTCGCCCTGGCGGACCGGTGGCGGCGGCGCGTCGTCGTCGAGGACGACGACGCCTCCCTTGTCGCGGGCACAGCGCCAAGCGGTGAACTACTCGTAGGCACGGCACTGGTGCTTCAACTCCCTCTGCGCCCAGTCTTCATGCACCCACTTCAAGGCCGCCGCGTCGTCGAGCTCCTCCTTCACGCCGCCGGCGAGCCCAGGCTCCGTCTTCACGGCGGCGAGCCCCGGCTCCGTCTTTGGCTTGACGTAGCGGGGAGGAGCTGAGGAGGAGGTGCGCTCGCCGCTGTGACGCCCGGATAATTAGGCTACAGTAATCCCCCGTTAATGATGCCACGTCACCTCTATCACTGTAGTTAATCTCGGGTTAGTTCAAAAACCGATTCAAAATTCAAATTCTAAATCAAGTCAAACAATTAAAGTTTTCAAATATTAAAACTAAAATGTTTGTTTTGTGCCAAATAATGCATAGGTAATTATGGTGGAGAGACCACACTTTTATAAATTGTTTAAATACTCTAAAATGAATAAGATGTAGCGAGAACAATTATTTAAATGCTTTTAAAATAATAAACAATTACAAACTAACTTATTTTAGGTGCCAAGTTAATTGTGGTGGTGGCATATTTGCTCATACTAATTTAGGTACAACTAATGTATTTTATAAAGGGAGTGTCTAGGTCTCAGTCGACTGAGACTTCGCGAAGTCTCAGTCGGCTGACGTCATCGCATGCAGATTAGGCCTGTTAGGTAGCTCTGTTTCTGCTGGGTTGAAACGGCTTAGCACCTGGGCTTATTTCGTTTCCCCCCTGTTTGTTTGTTTGTTACTTTGGGCTGGGCTTCTCACATTGTTTGTCGTGGTTGAGGCTGGACCAACAAGCTGCTACTGTTGTATGGGCTTTTCTGTTGGGTTTTTGCTGTTTGTCAGGCCTGCCGTACCTGTGTCCCCATCCCTGGACGCACCAAACACACAAACAAAAAAAGCAGAAAGCCCATGTGTAGCTAAAAGACAGGAAAACCTTTGCTCCTCTGTTAAAACCCTGAACCCCCACCCTCCCACCATGAGAGAACACACCAGTCCTTACCCCTCCCATCTTTCCCCTCCTTCCTCCCCGTCCCTGCCTCCCCTACCGAACCCTAGTGTAGGTGGCGGCTGTTCTTGGACATGAAAGAAGCAGATGATGAAGATAAGAATAGGGATAGGGGGAAACAAACTCACCAGGGTGAGTTTGTGCGTCCATGGATCCATCTGCAGCTCCGTTCTTTTTCAATTCTCCTGATCTTGTTCCCTTCTTCTTTTTGGATCTGAAAACCTTCTGATTTCTTCTTCTCCCTTTGTTTTTCTGCAGCAATTTTGGAGCAGTATGGAAATTTCCTGATGGGCACGCAGGTTTGTCTCTAAGATAACTTCTTGGGAGGAAAACTCCATCTTTGTCTCACATGTTGTTCAAAGTTTCTCTGAAGAAAAAAATGAAGAAGAAAAGTGTAGTATATTAGAAACATGTAGTATGTTAGAAGCATGGGTATTCAGTTGTTTGATGACATAAAAGATAATAATTTCCATGCTGCTACTATTTTTGTGTATGTCCAACACACATACAGTTCAGGACACACTAAAAAAAACATGTAGTGCGCTTGTTTGTGGACAGAGAAAAGGTTGTATGCTTGTTTTGGACAGAGAAGTTGAAAATTTGCTGTTGTTGTTGACACTTTTTGAATATGATAAACTAATGAACATGGTTCTTTGCATGAGACAAAAAAAAGAAAAACATATGTCATGGGAATTGATGCTGTACAGCTCCCTACAGAAACATGTATATGAGCTGTTTTGATTTCATGTTTCAGGGCAAAAAAACAAAATTACCTAGGTGTAAAAATTCAGCAAATTCTTATACATGCCCCCTCCCCTGAACAAGTAGTGTCCCATGATTACCCCAGTACAAATACAGTGAAAACTGAACTTTTTTTTCAAGATCTGCTACAGTGGGTTGTATAAGAAAAAGCATATAGAAGCATACATGCCCCTGCCCCTTCTGGATCTATACAGAAAAATGGAAATGTACAGTATATGTAACATCTTGTTTGCTGACTACAGAAGATAGAAAATGTATACTCCAATCAGTCGTATACCAGTCCCGGTTGATCCAGTAACATCGGTTCATGTATGATCTATGTTTTTTTTAAAAGAACAACACCATTAGATTGTGAAAGAAAAAATACATCATTTTTTTGGTGTGGCCTCAAAAAAAGAAAAGAACTTAGATTATTACTCTCTATGTGC